GAACCATTGTACCATCTAAACCGCTGTGATATATTTTCCATAACCAAACATTTTTGTATTTTCAGCTGTTTGAAGCTGGTGTACAAAACCGAAAGTAAAAGACGCAAAAATGAAACTTAAGAATGAGAAGCATAGAAGTAGCGCACATAGAACAGATCTAACGCTTCTTAGACTTTCGTTCAATGAGAATTACAGATCTATAACTCACATTTCTATGTGCATTTGGTCAGGTCGCCCAAAAAGTTACATACTGCAGCTTTAAATGTGTTGCCCTTTAATGTAGACTACACCTGAGTGGCGCAGTGGTCTAAGGCACTGCATCGCAGTGCTAACTGTGCCACTAGAGATCCTGGTTCGAATCCAGGCTCTGTCGCAGCCGGCCGTGACCAGGAGACTCATGGGCGTCGCACAATTGGCCCAGCGTCGTCCAGGGTAGGGGAGGGAATGACCGGCAGGGATGTATCTCAGTTGATAGAGCATGGCGTTTGCAACGCCAGGGATGTGGGTTCGATTCCCACGGGGGGCCAGTATAAAAAAAAAATGTATTCACTAACTGTAAGTCGCTCTGGATAAGAGCGTCTGCTAAATGACTAAAATGTACACTAAGAAATATGAATAAAGACTTGCTAAAATCTCCCTCCGTCAACCCTGTGTCACTTCTACAAAGTTTTAACCCCAACATTTCACCATCACTGTAAAGCCCTAGTTATTGTGTTGCTTTAACAAAGTAATTTCTGAAGATTATCATTCATTCATTTCATGTGATTAGTGATTCATTTACATCTGTCACTCATTTTAAGGTCAACCCTGTTACGTGAACTGAACTCTTGCTTTAATATGGTGAAACTATTCCTTTTTCAATATTCCTTTCAAATGAAACATTGAACATGTAATATTCAAATCATAATGTAAAAGCCGGTGAGCTGGTTCTACTCTTTTTGGCCATTTGATAGTGTTTTGTGATGAAAAACTAAGGGGGTTGAGCATAACACGACAACCCTGTTACCCATATAGATCGACAGGCAAGAAATGTTTTAACAATTATTAATTTGTTGTGAAGTTTGCATTCAATTGCCACTCCCTGTTTCACACAACAAACTTCCATTCCCCCTGTCAAAAGGGGATTTATGGCTGATTTAAGATTAACCCTGTTACTGTCAACCCTGTTACTTTATTTGGCACTAACTTACTTACTTGAGATGGGAAAACATGTTTTTTATGAAGTTGAACATGTGCTCTTTATGACAGAATGTTAAAAATAGTTGAAATCAAAAGTTTTTTTGGACCAAGTTACACTTCTCAAAAGGCACCGAATTGGTGGAAGGACTCGGATATTGCTTGTCCGCCTTCCGCTAACTCTAGCAGGCTTGTAACTGCGCGTGCATGTTGCACGTGGCTAGTCGAACGCCACATTCTTTATAGAGACAATGCTGAAGCATCAATCCATGGGTGAGTCAATGCCACATTTTCATTTGTGCCGAAATCCAATAGTTTTTGCTGTTATCTTGCAAATTCAGCAGGCTATGGTGTGAAATAGGCTTGTTGAAGTGCCGTCTTTATTTTATTACTTATCGTTAATGCCGTCTTTGGTGTTTTGGTGTGCTTATCAATGCACAAGCACCTTTTTTTCCCCACTCCTATAAGTCATAAACAACTTTTACTGTACATGAAGTTTCAAATGCATTCTGTCATGAAAAATGTATGCACTCACTAACTGTAAGTCGCTCTGGATAAGAGCGTCTGCTAAATGACTAAAATGTAAAAATGTCATTACTAAATGTGTAATGTGATAGGTTTTTAATGTGACTATTTTCTAAGTCGTAAGTCGTCTTCCTCAAATAAAGGGTATGATGATGCAATCTTTGTGAGAGGGAGGGAATCTGATTTTATTGATCGTCAACTCAAGGCTCAGACACTTCATTCGGGAAAAATGGTCTTGTCTCATCGCTGCAACTCCCCAATCGGCTCGGGAGAGGCGAAGGTCAAGTCATGAGTCCTCCGAAACATGACCCACAAAACCGCGCTTCTTAACACCCGCCCACTTAACCCAGAAGCCAGCTGCACCAATGTGTCGGAGGAAACACAGTTCAACTGACGACCGAGTCAGCCTGCAGGCACCCGGCCCACTACAAGGAGTCACTAGAGCGCGATGAGCCAAGTAAAGCCCCCGAAACCCTCCCCTAACCCGGACGACGCTGGGCCAATTGTGTGCCACCCTATGGGACTCCCAGTCACGGCCGGTTGTGACACTGCCTGGGATCGAACCTGGGTCTGTAGTGACGCCTCAAGCTGTGTCACTCGGGAGGCCAAGACCATGGCCATTTCAAACTTATCCTTCTAAAAAGGTTATTTCAGAATATTTTGGCAAGTTAGCTGGCTAACTCATTGATCCTGCTTTGTAGTATACCCCTCTGCTCCGACTCTGTCATCAGACATCCAAGATCATGGATTGTAAAAACCGAAAGGGTGCCTATAAACGTAGAAAGAGCACATTCTACATTGTCACCTCACTCAAAACGTCCTATTTTTGGGGCGGCTAAAACCATGATTTGGTCAAACAATAAAGTGAGTTATCCTCATGATTCCTGTAATGAAACTGTCCTCACTGGGGCCTGCTGCTGTGATGAGCAAGCCACTTTCCTCTCCCCCATGTGCTTGCGAGAAAAATCTGATCGTATAACATTTAAAAATCAAATTGCGGGAAAACCACAGCTTTGGAAGCTTCATCCCCTTGTCCTTGTCGAAGATAGGAGGGTCTCAGCGTTCTGTAGTTATAATTTGTATTTTTCAACGCAATATTCAACTCAATAGCAACTATTATACAACCAAGATATTTGATATGGCTTTGAGATAATGGAACAGTGCACATTCAAAATGGCTTAAATGGATTTTGTCTCACCCATCTACACACAATACCCCATAATGAGAACGTTTTTTTTTCTTTTTGTAAATGTTGGCAAATGTATTGAAAATGAAATACAGAAATACTGTATATCATTTACATAAGTATTCACACCCCTGAGTCAATACTATGTAGAAGCACCTTTGGCGGCGATTACAGCTTTGAGTCGTCTTGGATATGTCTGTATCAGCTTTGCACAGCTGGATTTTCTCCCATTCTTCCTTGCAGATTTTCTCAAACTCTTTTAAGTCAGATGAGGAGCGGCGTTGAACAGCAATCTTCAAGTCTTTCCACAGATATTCAATGGGATTCAAGTCTGGGCTTTGGCTGGTCCACTCAAGGACTTTCACATTCTTGTTCTGAAGCCATTCCAGCACTGCTTTGGCTGTATGCTTGGAGTCATTGTCTTGTTGGAACGTAAATCTTCGCTCCAGTCTAAGGTAGTTTGCACTCTGAAGCAGGTTCTTATCAAGGATTTGCTTGTATTTGGCTCTATTCATTGTTCCCTCTTTCCTTACCAGTCTCCCAGTCCCTACCGCTGAAAAGCATCCCCATAGCATGATGCTGCCACCACCATGCTTCACCGTAGGGATGGTGTTAGACGGTTGATGAGCTGTGCCTGGTTTTCTCCAGACATAACGCTTTGCATTCAGGCCAAAGAGTTCAATTGTTGTCTCATCAGACCACAGAATATTTTGTCTTATGCTCTCAGAGTCTTTCACGTGTCTTTTTGCAAACTCCAGGTGTGCTGTCATGTGTCTTTTTCTCAGGAGTGGCTTCCGTCTGGCCACTCTCCCATATAGCCCAGATTGGTGAAGCGCTTTAGAGACTGTTGTCCTTCTGGCAAGGTTCTCCCATCTCATCAAAGGAACTCACTCTGTAGTTCTGTCAGAGTCGTCATTGAGTTCTTGGTCACCTCCCTGACCAAGGTTCTTCTTGCCCAGTTTCTGTATTTTATTTTAAATACATTTGCAAAAAATTCTCAAAACATGTTTTCACTTTGTCATTATGGGGTATTGTGTGTAGATGAGTGAGGGCAAAAATATATTTAATCCATTATAAATTCAGGCTGTAATGCAACACAATGTGGAATAAGTCAAGGGGTATGAATACTTTCTGAAGGCACTGTAAATCCAACCTTTATCTCTGACTCTGAAGGCACTGTGCATTCAGAAAGTATTCAGACCCCTTGACTTTTTCTAAAATGGATTAAAAGTTTTTTTCCCCTACACACAATACCCCATAATTACAAAGCAAAAACAGGTTTTTAGAAATGTTTGCAAATGTATATATAAAAAAAAAACTGAATATCACATTTACATAAGTATTCAGACCCTTTACTCAGTACTTTGTTGAAGCACCTTTGGCAACGATTACAGCCTCGAGTCTTCTTGGGTTTGACACTACAAGCTTGGCACACCTGTATTTGGGGAGTTTCTCCCATTCTTCTCTGCAGATCCTCTCAAGCTCTGTCAGGTTGAATGGGGAGTGTCGTTGCACAGCTATTTTCAGGTCTCTCCAGAGATGTTAGATCAGGTTCAAGTCCGGGCTCTGGCTGGGCCACTCAAGGACACTCAGAGACTTGTCTCGAAGCCACTCGTGCGTTGTCTTGGCTGTGTGCTTAGGGTCGTTGTCCTGTTAGAAGGTGAACCTTCACCCCAGTATGAGATCCTGTGGAAAGGGTTCTACATGGAACCCAAAATGGTTATACCTGGAACCAAAAAGGGTTATTAAAAGGGTTCTCCTATGGGGACAGCCAAAGAACCCTTTTTGGTTGTAGATAGCACCTTTTTTTCTAAGAGTGTACTTGTAAACACCACAGAGCACATCCCCCTACATCTCACGGTATACTGATACAAACTGTAACTAAGGTTAGAGGAATTCTGTTGGGAATTTATTTGATCAATACTTCTACAGCTGTTGTCTGCATACAATTTGTAATGGATAAAATGTAGCTATATGAATATTTTGAGGTGCATTTGGTTGGTAGAAACACCCCAGGTATTTTCAATTTACTATACAAATATTTTCTGCAGGTTCAGCTGAATAACCAATCTATCCTAAACTATGCTTAAAGGTCATTTTATTAGGACTCACCTTGCCCACCAGTTCCTCCATGTGGGGTACAGTTTTGCCCCTTTGGTGGGGTGGAGGGGGACTGTCCGTCCCAGCCCGTCAGCTTCTCGATGCTCTTCGGGTAGAGCAGAGCCTTCCGACCCAGGCAGTAGTCCTCTATCAGGATGAAGTCCTGGTTCTGCACCGCACTGCAGATCTGGGGAAGACGCACACAATGGAATGAATTTGTGTATTTGCCAACACACCCGGACAGCTGTGTTGTTGTATTCAAACACACATGGACGTACAGTTGTGGGCAATAAAAGGTTTTTCATGGTTTTTGTGTCTAACTATTGCTAGAAGATGCTAGAGTGCCGTGTTGCCCACACATTGTGGAAATTGTTCTGCCAATGCCAACCTAACTTTTTAGTGCCCGCAACTGTATAGGCACACACACATTCAGACTTCAGATAAGTAGACAACATGGACTTAAGTCAATAAAACATGGATTTAAGGTCAACTTATCTGAACAGGGCCCTAAGCGATGTGTCTGTCACTAGAAGGCTACTGTATATTTTTAAGTAGCAGAAGACACACAGAGCTGTAGGTGGCCTAATGTGTCAAAACCACATCACTCCCTACACTGTTTCCTTTTACACTTTAATGCATCAGGGGAGCACCTCTGGCCTTGTGGAAATGAAGACAACAAAAAGTCAAAAGCAAAAGTGTGGGAAAAATAATTGACCCTACTACTGGTAGAGATCAGAAAGTATGTTAACACATATTCAAATACATCATTTTCTGTCACCGAGGCTCTCAGCTATTTAAGCTACATTATTTAGTGGCATAATGACAATGTTGCATTTATTTATTTATAAACAGATTTCTGAGGCTGGGACCCCCCGCTGAGATAATAGGTTTATTTGCTGTAGCAATTTGTTCCGTGTATTATATTAGGATTTACATGAAGCTTGTTACTGTCAATCTGTTGCCATAGCAGCCGGGGGTATACACACCCAAAGCGTAGAGAGAGAGAGAGAGAGAGAGAGAGAGAGAGAGAGAGAGAGAGAGAGAGAGAGAGAGGAGATAGAGAGAGCGAGAAGAGAGAGGAGCGAGAGAGATAGGTAGTCTAGCTATCCTCTCGCTCTTCTCTCTATCTCTCTCTCGCTCTTCTCTCTCGGTCTCGCTATCTACTCGCTCTCTCGCTCGGCTCTCTCTCTCTCTCTCTCTCTCTCTCTCTCCTCTCCTCTTCTCTCCTCTCTCATCTCTCTCTCTCTCTCTCTTCCTCTCTCTCTCTCTCTCTCTCTCTCTCTCTCTCTCTCTCTCCCTCTCTCTCTTCGCTGATGGCTTCATCTTTCATAAAACAAAGAAGGAAATTCCTGGAGAAAGTTCTTGATGTTACTGATGATAACTAATACTTTAATTATTATATAGAATGTAAGCTCCTATTAAATGGATCAGTGTTGAATATTAGACAAAAGACACAGATGCTAACATGAATGTTCCACTCTAAGATGTTTCCAAGAGATCCTTAGCCCTCAGTTATCTGTCTCTGTGTGTGGTTAAATATCAAATCACATGAAACAGACAAACTCTTAGGTTCTCAGTGTGACTATAATGAAAAGAAATGTACTGACAAAAAGCTGGGTACCTAGATTTTAGTTGTTTGTTTGTACATTTTATCAATTGTCATCATTTGTCATCTCACATACCCTAATAACAGTATAACACACGTTAACTACATTATAACACACGTTAACTACAGTATAACACAAGTTAACTACAGTATAACACACGTTAACTACAGTATAACACACGTTAACTACAGTATAACACACGTTAACTACAGTATAACACACGTTAACTACAGTATAACACACGTTAACTACATTATAACACACGTTAACTACAGTATAACACACGTTAACTACAGTATAACACACGTTAACTACGGTATAACACACGTTAACTACATTATAACACACGTTAACTACAGTATAACACACGTTAACTACAGTATAACACACGTTAACTACAGTATAACACAATTTAACTACAGTATAACACACGTTAACTACAGTATAACACACGTTAAATACAGTATAACACAAGTTAACTACATTATAACACACGTTAACTACAGTATAACACACGTTAACTACAGTATAACACAAGTTAACTACAGTATAACACACGTTAACTACAGTATAACACACGTTAACTACAGTATAACACACGTTAACTACAGTATAACACACGTTAACTACAGTATAACACACGTTAACTACATTATAATACAAGTTAACTACAGTATAATACAAGTTAACTACAGTATAATACAAGTTAACTACAGTATAACACACGTTAACTACAGTATAACACACGTTAACTACATTATAATACAAGTTAACTACAGTATAATACAAGTTAACTACAGTATAATACAAGTTAACTACAGTATACAGTGAGGGAAAAAAGTATTTGATCCCCTGCTGATTTTGTACGTTTGCCCACTGACAAAGACATGATCAGTCTACAATTGTAATGGTAGGTTTATTTGAACAGTGAGAGACAGAATAACAACAACAAAATCCAGAAAAATGCATGTCAAAAATGTTATAAATTGATTGAGGGAAATACGTATTTGACCCCTCTGCAAAACATTACTTAGTACTTGGTGGCAAAACCCTTGTTGGCAATCACAGAGGTCAGACGTTTCTTGTAGTTGGCCTACCAGGTTTGCACACATCTCAGGAGGGATTTTGTCCCACTCCTCTTTGCAGATCTTCTCCAAGTCATTAAGGTTTTGAGGCTGACGTTTGGCAACTCGAACCTTCAGCTCCCTCCACAGATTTTCTATGAGATTAAGGTCTGGAGACTGGCTAGGCCACTCCAGGACCTTAATGTGCTTCTTCTTGAGCCACTCCTTTGTTGCCTTGGCCATGTGTTTTGGGTCATTGTCATGCTGGAATACCCATCCACGACCCATTTTCAATGCCCTGGCTGAGGGAAGGAGGTTCTTACCCAAGATTTGATGGTACATGGCCCCGTCCATCGTCCCTTTGATGCGGTGAAGTTGTCCTGTCCCAAAGCATAATGTTTCCACCTCCATGTTTGATTGTGGGGATGATGTTCTTGGGGTCATAGGCAGCATTCCTCCTCCTCCAAACACGGCGAGTTGAGTTGATGACAAAGAGCTCGATTTTGGTCTCATCTGACCACAACACTTTCACCCAGTTCTCCTCTGAATCATTCAGATGTTCATTGGCAAACTTCAGACGGGCCTGTATATGTGCTTTCTTGAGCAGGGGGACCTTGCGGGCGCTGCAGGATTTCAGTCCTTCACGGCGTAGTGTGTTACCAATTGTTTTCTTGGTGACTATGGTCCCAGCTGCCTTGAGATCATTGACAAGATCCTCCCGTGTAGTAATGATCATTGCAACTCCACAAGGTGAGATCTTGCATAGAGCCCCATGCCGAGGGAGATTGACAGTTCTTTTGTGTTTCTTCCATTTGCGAATAATCGCACCAACTGTTGTATAACACACGTTTACTACAGTATAACACAAGTTAACTACAGCACAAACAGATGTAGCTACCAGGCTGGTGGTTAGTGCATTTATTTGTTTATGTCTCTGTTTACCTGTAGAGCAGAAGCTCCAGCATGGAGGAACTGTAGGCCTGTCTCGGCTGGGTCAATCCTCCCAGTCGCCAGGCTGTGGAACCCAGACAGGGCCCTGCCGATGGCGGACACCACACGCATCGCATTACCTGTGGAGAAGGATCTCAGCCTTCTCAGACCTGATTTCTTACAGAAGATGAGATAAATTCAGATTCATAGTTGTGTAAATTGCAGAGTTTTTCTGTTTCTCAGTCTCTCCAGAACATAAATAGATACAGTGTTATATATGAAGAATACATATTGACAATCATCCAATTGCTATTTCTTGCCAACCCATGCACATATGCACACACACACACACACACACACACACACACACACACACACACACACACACACACACACACACACACACACACACACACACACACACACACACACACACACACACACACACACACACACACACACACACACACACACACACACACACACACACACACACACACACACACACACACACACACACAGTCCCCTCCCTCCCACACTCCCCAATGTGGTCCAATCCAGCTCCCTGTATCTCTAGTCTCTAACTGGCTGTCAGGAGTCCCTACAGGATGGGGTTGGCTGGGCTCTGTGATCAGGCAGACAGATGGAGGCATTTATCACATTACATTTAACCTGGTTCTCCCACTAAGCTCTCGCTCATTGATCACAGCACAGCCTTGTCCACATTCATTTGGCCAGAGAGGCTCACACACACACACACGCATGAAAGCGCACACAAATAAGTGTGGACGCACACACGCGGGCAACACACACACACACATATCTGTATATAGGCATGCATGCACGCACACACATGCACACACACACACACACACACACATACACCCCCCCCCCCCCCACACACACACACCATAGGTTGACAGATAAAGACAGCACCTTCTGTCTCCACCAATGCTAAATGATCTTGATTAACTAATGCCAGCCTCTGAAATTGGGATGATGAATTGAATCAAAGCATATATTTTTGCATATTCTCCATGGATGGTTAATCGTATGCATATTCATGGCTCTCTCTCTCCACCCTCTCTGTTTTCCTAGGCGCTTCTTCTCCTCCTACATTTCCTCCCCTCCACCTCTTTCTGGCTAAAGTCTCCTACAGAACATGTAAAGTCTCCTACAGAACATGTAAAGTCTCCTACAGAACATGTAAAGTCTCCCACAGAACATGGAAAATGTCTCCTACAGAACATGGAAAGTCTCCTACAGAACATGTAAAGTCTCCTACAGAACATGTAAAGTCTCCTACAGAACATGTAAAGTCTCCTACAGAACATGTAAAGTCTCCTACAGAACATGTAAAGTCTCCTACAGAACATGTAAAGTCTCCTACAGAACATGTAATGTCTCCTACAGAACATGGTAAGTCTCCTACAGAACATGGAAAGTCTCCTACAGAACATGTAAAGTCTCCTACAGAACATGTAAAGTCTCCCACAGAACATGTAAAGTCTCCTACAGAACATGGAAAGTCTCCTACAGAACATGGAAAGTCTCCTACAGAACATGTAAAGTCTCCTACAGAACATGTAAAGTCTTCTACAGAATATGTAAAGTCTCCTACAGAACATGTAAAGTCTTCTACAGAACATGGAAAGTCTCCTACAGAACATGGAAAGTTTCCTACAGAACATGGAAAGTATCCTACAGAACATGGAAAGTCTCCTACAGAACATGGAAAGTCTCCTACAGAACATGTACAGTCACCTACAGAACATGGAAAGTCTCCTACAGAATATGGATTGTCTCCTACAGAACATGTAAAGTCTCCTACAGAACATGGAAAGTCTCCTACAGAACATGGAAAGTCTCCTACAGAACATGTACAGTTTACTACAGAACATGGAAAGTCTCCTACAGAACATGGAAAGTCTCCTACAGAACATGTCAAGTCTCCTACAGAACATGTCAAGTCTCCTACAGAACATGGAAAGTATCCTACAGAACATGTAAAGTCTCCTACAGAACATGTAAAGTCTCCTACAGAACATGTAAAGTTTCATCCAGAACATGTAAAGTCTCCTACAGAACATGGATTGTCTCCTACAGAACATGGAAAGTATCCTACAGAACATGTAAAGTCTCCTACAGAACATGGAAAGTCTCCTACAGAACATGGAAAGTATCCTACAGAACATGTAAAGTCTCCTACAGAACATGGAAAGTCTCCTACAGAACATGGAAAGTATCCTACAGAACATGTAAAGTATCCTACAGAACATGTAAAGTATCCTACAGAACATGGAAAGTATCCTACAGAACATGTAAAGTCTCCTACAGAACATGGAAAGTTTCCTACAGAACATGTAAAGTATCCTACAGAACATGTAAAGTCTCCTACAGAACATGTAAAGTCTCCTACAGAACACGTACAGTCTCCTACAGTATGTTGGAATTATTCATTTGTGTTCTGTATAAAAGTCTGGATGGAAGTTGAAATGAGAATGTAGAGGTAGAGAGGTACACTGTGACCGCTGAATTTGAAAAATGTTGTGCTTTTAGGCCTTCAAAGCAAACTATACAGTCTACATGGAATGTAGTTGAAGTCCAAGGGAAAGTAACTGATAAGATTAAGTGCATAATGTCATGTGGCAACATTATCGTTGTCCTACAACAAAAAATGTAGCCTATGCATTTTTCATACTCATACAATTTATCCATCCCTCTCCTAGCGGGGCCTACTTAGGTAGTGAAAAAAGGCCAGAAAAATAAAACACCCCTCAAGAATATACTTCTTCTTTCCTTTTATAACCGAGCGGGGCTGACTATGTTTTATGTCAGTTGGACATCACCCCCCCCCCCCCCACCTCCCCCCCTGGCCCTTTAGGGTGGTAGTGATCAATGACCCAGTCAAAAGGGAGAAGAGATGGAGCAGGATTGCCCCCAGCTAGGGGACTCCCAATGGGGGGGATAGTATGGCGCTACAGCCTAACCACAGCCACAAGTTACACCAGCTGAACTATAACAGCTGGTACTTCATGTTTGCATAAAGTACTGCCTCAATAGTGTCAGCATTAATGTTTAATGCAGGCTGTTTCCTGACCCTGTGACTGGCTGCTACTGGCTCAGATGGAATGTGAGCGAGGGAACAAGCTGGGTGGCCAAGAGAGAGAGGCACACACACACACACACACACACACACTCTAGTAAACACACAGGGCCTTTACACTGACAGACTTAAACACGTTAGCTGTCTGTATGAAAAAAGTATGAAAAAGTATGAAATGTATGCACTCACTAACTGTAAGTCGCTCTGGATAAGAGCGTCTGCTAAATGACTTAAATGTAAATGTAAAATGTATCCGTAAGGTAACAGCACTGCTTACAAGACAAAGTGTTTATGTGTGTTTGTGTTACCTACCAGACACTCCTCCATAGGTGGTGCGCTTGCCCTTGCTGATGCCAAGCCAGGGGGTGCTGTCATCTTTCAGGCCCATCATTCCAGACACTGTGTTGGTGGCAGTGACTCCATCTGCCCCTCATATAAGAACATGACCACAGACACAATTGAGTTTGATATTGCTGAAATTCCAGTCATTACAAAATGGTTGGCTGCTGCACTTTCCCCTCCATCCCCCAATCAACAAATCATTCACCCTTCACTTCCTCTCCCAACATGGATGCTCAGAGGAGGAAGGAAAGAGGAACATGTGAGAAGGAAGGGATTAGAAATGAGAGAGGGAAGAGAAGGAAGAAAGAAAAAAAGGAGAGGGAAACTAAGCTGGATCTCATTTCATTTTAAAAAGACAACGTGAACAGAGATTCATATTGGAACTACTGATGGATTCAGTTGCCATGGTGATGTTCTATGCTCCCAAAGGGAAAATAAGTTAAAATCAAAATGGACTCAGGTGTTGTTACCCTTCATGTGCAGCCTTGGCGATGTCGGTGACATACCCAGCGACAGATGTTCATCACCAACACAGGGACTTACAACAACAGATTAAGTTTGAGGAAATCAACATTTAACTTATCATATAATGACCTATGACATTTAGCAGATGCTTTTATCCAAAGCAACTTGTTTAGACCACTCACCAGAATAGCTGTTTGAACGTAATTTATATCAACATGCAATTCAAGTTGCAACAATTTATTGTTCTATTTGCATACATTTTAAGTATGGGTGATCCTGGGAATGGAACCCACTACCCTGGCATTACAAGTGCCATGCTCTACCAACTGAGCTACAAAGGACCACTATAATATAAAGTTGTCCTCTGAAGATGGCTGTTGCTGGCTCAATGTAAAAAATAAGGATGATTTCACCCATCTTTCATGGGTGTTAACTTGTGAAGTGTAGTAAATTGTGAAATTTGTAAGGAATTAGGCCAATAAACCAACCCCCATCTGTTGTAGCATCGGTTGACATGTGGGAGTTTTTTGCAAATATACAGTTTTTCTCGTTAATGTAGGCGCAGTCAAACACGCGCGCAAGTTTCTCTGTGTGCCCTTTAAGATGTGACAGGAAAGCAAAAGCTGTTGTGTCCAAACATGTCCATTCAAACACCCTGCAGCCTCCCTGTTGCTTTTTCACTCCTCCAACAGCTCAGTCGCGCTTTCTCCCTCTCCCTCTCTCTCTGCATCCTCCTCTCTTCCTTCCTTTCTCGCTCCCTCTCTGCTTCTCTTTCTCTCTCTCCCTCTTCCTCCCTGTCCTTCTCTATGCCTCATCCCCCTCTCTCTCTCTCTTTCTCTTTCTTTGCACCATTTCACAGGACACAGAGTTCAATTATTTTTCTTTCAGATGTCCAATACTTCCTGCCACATTCTGTACACCCATTGGAAGTGGTATTTTGCTCTCCTGTTTTAACTGACGTGAGATTGACGATGGCTGAGCCAAGGTGCTGTGGTAAAGGCTGTCTGTCTGCCTCTCTGCCTGCCAGCCTGCCTGCCTGCCTGCCTGCCTGACTGCCTGTATGTCTGTCTGTCTGTCTGTCTGTCTGTCTGCCTGTCTGTCCACACCACTGTACGCAAAACATTTATTTTCTGAAGATACTGTATAGATAGTACTGACTAAAGAGCAAGCTGTAAAGTCAACCGTTTTCCATGGTGTATCCAACCTTATGAATAATGCATCTGTTATTAAAGTTAGTCAATCTGTACCTTATGGTGTGTTTGTGATATTTGTATATGGCAATGTGATTAGCCTGTGGTAACATTTGTCAGTTGACACCATTAAAAGCTGGGTTAAGCACAGCATACTAAATTGCTATTTAACAGTGCAGGTCTTCTTGCCCAACGAGAGCCTTTCTCTGTGGCTCTCTAAGTGTTACAGGAGGGGGTCGCAGTTCCGGAGCGACCCACTAGGTGTCATCCTCCTACAACCTTAGGCGCCTCCTCACTCACAGTCTGGACTAATCAGTATCCTATTGGTGTCACCTGTGTCTATCTGTTCACCTATGTATTTATACCCTCACTTCCCTGTGTTCCCTTGCTCAGTTTTCTCTGTTAGTTTCTCTATGTCCAGCAGTACTACTCAGTGTCTGATCGTAGACATATGTACAGGTACTTGAGAAGTGTTCTCCCTGTTTCGTTATTTGTTTCAGTCGTAGGTAGTATTTTGTATTTTGGCTGTCAGCCGGTTTTTGGAGACTTATTTGCTCCGCCTTTCTTTTATCGTGATAAGTCCGTTTTATTTTGTATTCTGGCTTCGAGACCACCAGTAAAGATCCTTGTTTCACCATCTCTGCCTACTGCCTACTGTATATCCTGCACCGCACCTGGGTCACACCTCACACCAACCCTTACACTAAGTGTGAACTCTGGTCCGCTCTGGGTTTGTGTGTGTGCTTTCATTAGTGTATACGTGTACGAATACACTCACATTTGTGTGTGTGTGTGTGTTTGTCCACCAGAGTGGGTCGTGGGAGGGAATGTAGGTGGCATGTGTTTTTAACAAAGCTGGTAGCGAAATAAAAATGAGAAACTCTGACAGGGATAGAAACTGGAATGTATAGACGGGTTGGTTGTTTAGCAACAAAACTGACACCTGTGCAACTATGGGGCAAAACAGACATGGTTGGTTTAGATTGTTGACAACATGTAAACTATATTTAGTCTCCATTGTTTATTGAAAACATACATTTGCACAATGAGCACTTGTTGTCTCTCAAATACATTGTTACAGTTGTTCGTTAGCTAGCTAGTGAATTTTTGCCATATTAGCATAGACATGACATCAGTCAAAACACCTCAAAACAAGACATGGCATCAAGAACAAGATAAAACTAGCTGAAACGAGCCACCTACGATTCGTCACGTCAGCTTCTTGTCATTGTTGCTAGCTATCTGGCCATCCAGAATCAGAACAACACACTACTTTCTTCCCCTTTGAAGATTGTGCATCGTTTTCGTGACTTGTTAGCTAACCCGTCTATATGAATGTGAAAACTAAGAGATGAGAGAACACGGATGAAAGAGGGAAAATGTATGATTTCATTGTCGATTGTAATGTATTTTGCAACTTTTGATCATGCAAATAAAGCTTATTTTAATTTCGAAAGGCAAGAGCGAATAAAAGTCAACAAATAGATTGAAAGAAAACGAAAATGAGAGAGGAGAGAGGGAGAAACAGAGGAAGGGAAGGAAATATGAGAGAAAGGAAGAGGAAGAGGAAGGGAGAGAGAGGGGGAGCAGTGTAAATAGCTATGTCAACAGCTGGAGTAATGACGGAGAAATTACAGATCAGGGGAGGAAACAATGCCTGTCATGTCCATCATGGATAGGGCTGTTGGGGGGTGGAGCTTATCTGCAGTTTGCAGGAAAAAAGGAATAGGTGTATGTGTGTATGTGCATGCATGCAGGTGTGTGTGTGTGTGTGTGTGTGTGTACAATACAGGCTTACTAGTGTTTCTAGAAGGCTAAGGGCATGTGTGTTAGCCTCTGTAACCGATGGTTCTGGTAAGAACCTAATGTCCTCACAGAGGGGGGTGGTACTGGTCTGTGAAGCAGGCACACACACAAACACACACACACACAGACACACAAACGCACGCACGCACGCACGCATGCACACACACACACACACACACACACACAGCTTATTAAAGCCCCAGGGCCGACAAGTGTGTGTGTGAAGCTGCCAAAGTCGCTGGCCTGCAAGGACCTCTCTCAGCAGTGTGGATGTAAAGAACAGCCTCCTACACCAACCTCCCCTTAGGCCTCCCCAGACTCCTCATACCCCTTCCCACATGCCACACAAACCCAAGCCCAGAGAGAGGTGTCATCCTTTGGAGAGCTGTACATTTAGTGGGGAGATCCAGTGCGGCCTGTATGGGCCAATATGACATATTCTTCCCGTTGTCTCTTTTACAGGGTGGTGGGTGGTGCGGGAGCCCCAGGAAGACCATCTCTGGGTATTAAAGCGGCAATCAGCAGTTGAAACAGTAACAAAGCATACTTCCCGCCCCCGTTTCGGGAAAAAGCTATGGGCCTGGAGAAATGTAACCACTCTCAAATTCATAGACAGAGCTATGGATGCAAGGACTGACCATCCATGACATCATCATGATAGTTTAAAACATTTGTATAGTGTTTGTTTATTTTGGGTTCTGATGGTGTTGGACAGTTGAACTAAGCTCATGAGTTATATTATTAATGTATATATAATTAATTTATGAGTCCAAAAATGGATGCAGATTGCTCCTTTAAGAGACATTAAGTGCCACTGTATATCAGTGGCTCCATAGAAAAAGAGCCTGTGCAGCTCTGATCCTTTGGCACACTTGCTACTTTTGATCTCGGGGGCTTTTGATTCGGTTACAAAATACTTCAATGTGACTCCTGTATTGAGGGAAAGGCCCATCAAAGTGACTTGGGCAGAAGTAAAAGATGGTTCCTTTGGATGGAGCTGGAGAGTGATCCATCCTCACAGCACAAAGCATAGATCCCATAGCGGAGGGTGGATAGAGTTTTGGAGGCTTTGTGGGCTACGCCTTTAGAGCGGAGTGAGAGGGAATCGCAGGAGCCTGAGAAGCAGGACCATGGACAGCTCCTAGGCCTTCAGCAGAGAGTGAGAGGGAATCACAGGAGACTGAGAAGCAGGACCATGGATGGCTCCTAGGCCTTCAGCAGAGAGTGAGAGGGAATCACAGGAGACTGAGAAACAGGACCACGGACAGCTCCTAGGCCTTCGGAAAAGGCTGTATGAGGGCAGGGTTTTGTATAAAACTACAGGTAACTGCCAAAGTAATAGAAACACTTGAGTAAATGAGGGATACAAAGTATATTGAAAGCAGGTGCTTCCACACAAGCGTGGTTCCTGAGTTACTTAAGTAATTAACATCCAATCATGCTTAGGGTCAAATATAAAAATGCTGGGCAGGCTATTATTTTGGCCATTATTTTGGCTACCATGGCTATGCCCCCATAGGATGACAATGCCCCCATCCACAGGGCACGAGTGGTCACAATGGTTTGATGAGCATGAAAACGATGT